TTCCGCTTTACAAGAACAAGGGTGATATCTAAAATTGCAATAATTATAGGGGTATCAAGCTGTTGAGTCACACTATGAAGCTTTGGGAGAGGGTGGTGGAGGCCAGGGTGAGGAGGTGCGTGTCTCTTTCCGAGAATCAGTTTGGATTCATGCCGGGGCGTTCGACTACGGAAGCGATTCATCTGGTAAGGAGATTAGTGGAGTAGTACAGGTAGAGGAAGAAGGATTTGCATATGGTGTTTATTGACCTTGAGAAAGCATACGATAAAGTTCCGAGGGAGGTCCTGTGGAGGTGTTTAGAGGTTAGTGGTGTTCCGGTAGCGTACATTAGTGTGATTAAGGATATGTATGATGATGCTAAGACTCGGGTGAGGACTGGGGGTGGTGACTCGGAGCATTTCCCTGTAGTGACGGGGTTGCACCAGGGATCGGCTCTTATCCCATTTTTATTTTCCTTGGTGATGGATGTATTACCTCGTCACATCCAAGGGGAGGTACCTTGGTGCATGATATTTGCCGATGATATAGTGTTGATTGACGAGACGTGTAGCGGAGTTAACGTGAGGTTGGAGGTTTGGAGAGAGACCTTGGAGTCTAAAGGTTTCAAACTGAGTAGAACCAAGACAGAATACTTGGAGTGCAAGTTCAGTGACGGGACCCATGATGCAGACGTAGAGGTTAAGCTTGGTGCTCAAGTTATCCCCAAGAGAGCGAGTTTTAAGTATCTCGGGTCTATTATCTAGGGTCACGGGGAGATTGGCGAGGATGTCGCGCATCGCATTGGAGTGGGATGGATGAAGTGGAGGCTCGCTTCCATTGTTTTGTGTGATAGGAATGTGCCGCTAAGACTTAAGGGTAAGTTTTATAGAGTTGTGGTTCGACCGGCTATGCTGTATGGGGCTGAGTGTTGGCCAGTCAAGAACTCCCACGTGTAGAAGATGAGAGTAGCAGAGATAAGGATGTTGAGATGGATGTGTGGGTGTACCAGGCTAGATAGGATTAGGAATGAAGATATCCGGGGTAGAGTGAGAGTAGCCTCCGTGGAGGACAAGATGTGGGAGTCGAGGCTGAGATGGTTCGGACATGTTAAGAGAAGAAACATTGATGCTCCAGTTAGGAGGTGTGAGAGGTTGGCCATGGAGAGTTTGAGAAGAGGTCGAGGTAGGCCTAAGAAGTATTGGGAAGAGGTGATTAGGCAGTACATGGCGCTGCTTCAGCTCACTGAGGACATGACCCTTGATGGGAGAGTGTGGAGGTCGAGGATTAAGGTAGAGGGTTAGTAGGTAGTTTATAGTTGTTCACCGATAGTCTTAGTAGTATGCATGTCCCTTCATATTTTTAGATTTTTATTATGTTATGTGGTTTTGTTCGCCTCAGGTATTGTATCCCATGTTGCTATTATTTGGTACCACTTATCCTTTATCTCTCCCTTTTTCTTTTATATTCCATCTTTCTTCCTCCCTTGCTTTCCTCTTCTTCTTCTTGCCCTTCCTGAGCCGAGGGTCTATTGGAAATAGCCTCTCTACCTGCATTAGGTAGGGAGTAAGGTCTGCGTACAGACGACCCTCCCCAGACCCCACTTGTTGGGATCAAATGGGTTTGTTGTTGTTATTGTTTTATTTATATAAATATCCAATAATTATCCTTCAAATTACTTTTGTGATGATTTAGCCATCTAAATTCATTATTTTATGTCAACATAGTGTTTAAATATTTTTAGTGCATTTTTTGTAATCATATTTACATTTTTAGGCTAAATTGCACATCTTTGCAATAATAGCCCATACTAATGCATAATTACATTATTGATGCATAAAATGGTCTTTTATATTTTTAAAATGTTAAATAACTATCTTAGATCATTTTTAGTACACGAAAATATATTTTTTTGGAACTCATTTATTATTTTTAAAAATTATGCAGTTATTAAAAGTGGCTATTTAAAATCTGGCCTATTTTTATTTCAATTTTAGTCCTATTTCAACCCAATACCAGCCCAATTTCAATTTAAATTTACCCATAACAAACCCTAATACCCGATCCGGCCCCCAAACCCTTTCAATCTCGGTCGTTGATCATAGAGATCAACGGCCACAAACAGCCCCTTCCGTTTTTAGTCCCAAACGACCCCCAAACCCTTTCATTTCTCACTATCCGCCGCCCTGAAATCCCTTTCTTCTCTCAAATGCTCTCAAACCTAATCCTAATCGGACCTCACCGTCACTCATCTATGGCTATCTATGGTGATTTCTCACCACCCCCAGGCCTCTAGTAGCCTCTCTCACATTGGTATTGCCATCTCCAAGGTCCTCAAGGGACCAGGGTTAGTTGGCTTGCATCTATGGCCCCTTTTGTCGCCTGTTTCAGGCTGTTCCAGTGTGATTCCGAGTAAGATCGTTCTACATCGACTATGATCTATGGGTTTCTAAGCATGTTTCTTCACCTCTATGTTGTTCACCTCGAAACCCTAATTTTTTCTTCTGAACCTCTTAGATATGTACAGATCTGCGATGATTTGGACTTATTTCATATGAGTTTTACAATAACCTTGTGATTCATTACAAGAATCGTATGATTTTCGAGTGATTTTTCATCTTTCTCTAAACTAGGGTTTCCTGAAATTTCTTTTTCCAAAAAATTTGGTAAACTTTGAGCGTTTGATCTTCTGCTTCTTATATGTTTTGACTGATTTCGTAAGTTTGCTACAACCTTAACTCGTCTATACTAGAAACCCTAATTTTTGACATTTTTTGTTTGGTTTCGGAGTACTGGTGTACTAACTGTGTTCTTGCCTTAGTTCTTGTGATTTCTTTTTAGCCATTTGAATGTCTAGTGGTTTTCTTGTCCTAATATGCCTCTACTAAGTTCTTGGTTCAACTTTTCTACTGATTCTATATGTCTGTGTTCACCCTGACTGTTATTTCTTGCTTTATTTAAGTTGTTTGTGATATTTTCTGACTCTTTACGTGATTTCCTCCTTAATTAGACCCTGTTTATTCAAAAGTTCTTATTTTCAGTTTGAATTGAGCCATTTTCCCTAACAAATTCTTTGATTCTTATTTCACTCGGTTTGACTAAAATTCTTGGCTTAATTGGTTCCCTCTTGCCTTATTTGTTATTTTGCTGATGTTAACTATTTCCTTAATTGGACCACTGTTCATTCACCCTTAATTACCTTAGTTGATTTCCTTCCTTAAAACGTTTGTCCTGTTTTTACCATTGTGACGACCCGACCAGTCGTCTCATGAGTTACCGTTCTGTTTCCCCCATTTCTACTTCTTTATGCTTCGTTATCCGTGTCTTATGTGGTCGAGTTGATTAGGTTGCGTTTGGAGTGGTTTTGATAAGAAAGGAGACACTTAGTCTCTTTTAAGAAGGCTTAAGTTGGAAAAGTCAACCGGACGTTGACTTATGAGTTAGAGGGTTCGGATGTATTTTCGATGGTTCGGTTAGCTCCGAGAGGTGATTTGTGACTTAGGAGTGTGATCGGAAGTGGTTTTGAAGGTCCGGTGTAGAATTAGGCTTGAATTGGCGAAGTTAGTATTTTGGCGATTTCCGATTGATAGGTGAGATTTTGATCCAAGGGTCGGAATGGAATTCCGAGAGTTGCTGTAGCTTCATTGTGTCATTTGGGATGTGTGTGCAAAATTTCAGGTCATTCGGACATCGTTTGGTCGGGTTTTTGATCGAAAGTGTATTTCGGAAGTTTTTGGAAACTTAGGCTTGAATTCGATGAGTTTTGGGTAATTTGATGTTGTTTGAGGTGTTTTGATGATTGGAACAGGTTTGAATGATGTTACGAATTATGTTGGCATGTTTGGTCAGGGTCCCATGAGGCTCGGATAAGTTTTGGAAGAGTTTTTGGAAGATTTTTGTCATTTTGAGCATAAACGTGTAATGATCCAAAGGTCCATTTTTAGTTCTAGAGATCGAAATTTGATTTCGAGACTTCCGGAATTTTGATAATGAATTATAGGACTGATCTGGAAAGTTTGGTCTAATTTCATCAAGTCACGATAGGGTTTTTGACGCGAAACATGAGTTAATTGTTTAACGAGCAAAATGGATATCGCACCGAGCAAACGAGCTCCGAATTGAGTTTGATTGAAGGAATATGTTCGTATCATTATTTGTGATTCATAGGAACAAGAATCATCAAATTCCGAGTTTGTATGATGGAGTTAGAGCCTTTTTAGTGAAAATAAATATTGCTGGTGCAGCAGGTTCTGGTGTGCACCTTTAGCGACCAGATTTGGCACTTTTAGCGACGGGAATGGGTATTTTAGCGACCAGAATCGGGTTATTAATGCTGTTATGGTTTTTTTAGCTCATTTTCACGTTTTTCTTGTGAAAGAACAAGGCTTGGGGCGATTGTTTTTGCAAGAAATCATGGGAAATCTTGAGGTAAGTCACTTGTGATCATTTCTACTATATAATATTGAATTATCATCGAATAATCCGACTAGATTACATGTTTCTGAAGTGAAAATTGGGAATTTGGGCCTAGGGATATCAGACCTATAGTGGCGACAAAAGTCGCCACAAAAGAGGATAAAGTCGCCACCAAAGACATATAGTGGCGATCTTACGGTTGCTGCAAGCGCTACCGTAACTAAATGTTTTTTGTGACGACTCATTATAATCGCCACAACAAGTCACTATTGTGGCGACTCTAGTCGCCTCAAATAATAAAAAAAATATGCCACAAAAAAGTTCCACGAAACAAATCTTAAGTAGGTCGCTACTGAAGAAAGAAATTTAGTAGCGCTTCCGGTCGCCACTAAAACAATTATAGCTGCAGTGGCAACTCCAGTCGCATAATAGCTTGATACTTAGAGGCGACATTAGGTTTGCCACATATACTTATTGCTTCTGTGACAAGGTTAGTCGCCACTAAAACCTGTTTTTTCAACAACTACAATAACCAAAAGTTAATACATTTTTCATCAATTACTACCAATAATAAAATCACACCAAAATTATTCAACAACCAACAAAAATATTTCTCAAGTCAAATATTATAAATGCTTTCATTATCACAAAGTGAGTTAAATATATACTACACAATACTTCATTGCTCATTGTCATTGTACGCAAATACATACGAGAAGAAAAGAAAAAATAAAATCTAAGTGTCTTCAAACTCTTCCTTGGTCAACCGTCATTTGTGGTTGTTTAAGAACCTTGTTCCTGTTATTAAGAAAAACATAACACATGGTCATTTTGACAATCTCATAATTTAATACTAACATTAAAAGGGGTGATCACAATAAAATTGTAGTAAGAACTTTAAACACATTTAACTATTTATATAAGCTGATTGGGTGGGGGGACCATTGATACTAGAAGGACTATGTACGAAAATCTACGAATATCAAATACATTAACCACTAGAAGTAGATCAAGAGGCACCAGAAATGTACACTAACTTTATGAGCAACTCCAGAAGTGCTCACTGGAGAAGCTAACTTGTTAAAAGCTGAATAGAAAAAGATATAAATTTGTACACCTCTTCAGCAATGTTGATTAGAAAAAGATACAATTTTGTACACCTCTTCAGCAATGCCAGTGGGAAACTCCCAAGTCCCCGTGCATTTTTTAAATTTTTCTTTAACTACCAATACCTGCCAAGTGGAGTAACTTAATTCCTCTTAGAAATATTATGGCAAACTAATCTTACCTATCATATAATTACTCCTAACTTAAGTGAAACATTAAATAAACTTAATAAACCTGCCCATTGTTGTTCAGAATGAGAGCACCAATACCAACATAATGAGAAGCATTAGCAAGTTGTGTGTGAGGAGTATCGAGAATTCAATAGACGAGCATCCAGTGTGTTGCTTCAGCATGATAATACCAAAATCCTTCCTGTAATAACCACCACCTAGAATTGTGACTCCTAGCCTAAAAAATAGTATGTCTAGAACATCAGTATACAACTAGAACCAGAAGCATTCCTCAAGCCTAAATTACAAATATTATAATGATACAGTTAACTAAAGCAATTGACTTTCACCAACTCCCAAGGAAGAGTTTCAGTAAAAAACAATAAGGATTTGTCAAAAATACAAGCTAACAATAATTATCAATTCAACAAATTAAGCTAATGAAGAGATGAATTCCCCAAGGTAACAATATATAAAACTTCAACGCAAAGATGTTGTATTCACTATTAGTATATTCCTGGTTTACGAATGTTTTTGTAAAGGATTCTCATTAGCATTTAACTGTTAAAAAGAAAAACTTAAATAGTGGGTATATTTTCCAAACAAAGAAGGTGAAGCGGAGACAAAATACCAAGTATTTGTATTATAAGGCAAAACATTCACCTTAAGTAAAGCTATCAATTTGCCACAATAAGAATCTAGTTAGAGAGATGAAATTACAATAATAGACTTACGGACTACATCACATAATTAGTAGTAACCCGGAATCATCAAAAACCAGGCCAAGGAAAGGGCTACTTTACTCATCCTCCAGCCAACTCCAAAGCAAAAACTAGCACAGTGAAATTTCCATTCTTGATAACATCAACTCAATGCATAGAAATGCTGCACCAAGACAAACCGGTAGAAGGAAATGAAAGTTTGCTTTATTTGAATACACTTCATTTTGGCCCTTCAAGATCAAAGTATTATGTACTTTTTTTTTTTTTTTTTGAAGGTCAATTATGATATCCTTTTCTTCGTCGGTAACTTCTTAACAACAAACCATCTAGACGGAAGAAACTGGAGTCCCTTTCACGTAGATACCAAGATTTAAAGTTGAATCGATCGTTAAAATATACTCCCAAAGAAAAAGTTCCTTTAGCATATTTTGGTTCAGAGAAAACACATGCCAAAGAAATAAAGGTGATTTGGAAGAAAAGTTTGTCTCCTGTCATAATTATCTTCCTGCAATTCGAAAGTTTGTTCCATTTCATTTATCTTCATGTGAAACAACGCAAGACACAACCTAGTAAGCTCTATTTTCCAATCGAGAAGAATATCAAGTCATTCCCTGCCACTGCAATTTTTTGCTAGTCCATCGAAAATCTAAAGGTCCATTTTAAGTCAAGCATCTGCCCATCGAAAGTATATATACCTAAAAGACACCAAATTCAATATTTTACTAGCAAAGATAACTATCACAGACTTATAGAAAGAGTACTTGATCTTTATTTTGTAACATGAAGCTCCTGCAAAATACTAGAATATAAAAAATCTTTTATACAATGCTTATCTTTAATTACACCATTAACTTTAAAGTGGGAAATATGGCTCTAGTTAGACTAAGAAACTTAATTTTCAGCTTCAATTTCCTCCTAGAACCAGAACCTTAATCTGCAGCAAAGTAGTTTTATGAATCTTTCACAGTTCACACGCAAAGCATAATTAAAGTAGAGCTCTTTTTTGGCATACAAGGTCTTGAAGTCCAACAAGCTCATTCAACTGCATAATACATTTGTTTGACGGTCTTTCATGGTTCTACGACTTACTTCGACCATAAAAGACTATAATGTAATAATATCCCGTTAATAGTTTCTACGTACCAGGAAACTTTCTAGTTTTAAAAGATAAAACCAAGTGCTTTACAATCAAATTTCACAATAACTACCAAACTCAAGTTAGCACAATTATTTTGAGACAAAAGGAAGGATTGCATATTATGCTGTAGGGAATGGTAAGAACTAAAAATAAGAGCAGAAAACTACAACACAAGAAAATAAATATCCCCAACAACTTACCAACTTTGGCTTGCATCTCACGGGGAGCAGCAACCTCATCTTCCATTTCCTTTAATCATTTCTTCGTCCCATCCAATTCCTGACAATTAATCAGATCCACTGATAATCAATAATAATCTTTGTGTATTCATATATAACATGAAATTTGCTATCCTTGTTTATGGAAAACGAGATAGCAATTAATTTAATCCTCCAAACAGAATCAAACAAATCCATTAGGCTTCAACCCCAAACTACTTACGATTGGCTTTGCTATATGAATCCTCCATATAATTCCACCAATTTTTGTCCGTATGATTCTACTAAGCTACTCCAGAAAGGAGATAAAAATAAAAATTTTTAGCCCCCTCTCTTTGTCCGTGTTCATCGACTAGAAAAGGATATTTTATTAGGTCAACTAAGAGGAGCTGAAAAATTACAGCAACCAATAAACTCTACTGAAAATTGGATCTTTTATTTCCGACGACAAGCTGAACTTCATCAAATCTCTGGTAATACTTTTAATCAGTTACTATAGTAAACTCTATGAAAATTAAAGTAACATTTTAGTAGTTTCAAATAAGGTGTGCAGTAGGCATACTTTTTAGGGGTTTAACACAAAAGAGAGAAATCCTTATTTAGATCCAACAACCCAAAGATCATAATTGTTTTTACAAAAATTGTCAGAATATCAAACATACAACCCACTAAAAGTAACATATCAAACAGAAATCAAGGATAAAAAGGTAAAAAGAGGACCTTGAACAGAACTCATGTCTTTCACAACTTTGGCTTGCATCGTACGGAGAGCAGAAGATTCATATACCATCTTCTTTAATGTTTCTTCGTCTCATCCAATCCCTTACAAAATAAAAGGTTTTAAATCCTCTGCTAATTAGGGCTTTTTCACAAGAAAAAGAAAAGAGAAGAGAAGCACTAATACTGATAGAGAGAAAGGGTAACTTAACGACGCCATCATCGAGGGCACTATGAAGTTCTATATCTCCTTCCATTTCAGCTTCCATTGGGGAAAACCTTCCATTGGCGATGGGGTTTCAAAGAAATCTTCCACGACTGGGTTTCAGTTTTGGAGAAACGAAGCAGTTGTGATTTTGAAGACGACGGGCTTCAATTTTAGAGAGACAAGGAGGATGTGGATTTGGATTTGGGGAGACGATAGGCTTCAGGGGAGATAAGGGTTTTGGAGAGATATGGATCGCTTGTAGTGAACTGAGATTCTTTACTTACTCCTCCAAAATTGGATTAGTGGCGATCAAATGGGTCGTCACTAAAGGTTTTTGGCCCAAATTTTTGTTTTTCGCGGGAGTCGAATTTTTTACCTAGAATGGCAGGTACTAGCAGCGACTCCTTAAAAGCCGCCGCTGATCATGGAACATTCTGTAGCGACTAGGCTTGTCGCTTCTAATAGTGCCACGTTCAGCAGCAACTAGATTAGTCGCCACTAAATCTTTAGTTTTAGTCCCGACTTTTATGGCCGCCACTAAAGGTCGCCACTACAAGTCCATTTTCTTATAGGTTGAAAATAAGATTTGATGATTTGGAGGCCGAATTGTTGTCGGATTTTGGTAAAATTTGTATGGTTGGACTCGTGGTTGAATGGGTTGTCGGATTTTGTGAGTTTCGTCGAATTCCGAAGCGTGGGCCCGGGGGCCGGGTTTGAGCAATTTCGGGATTTTGATGTTAAATTGGATATTTTCGAGTGGGCTTCGCTCCCTTAGCATATTTTAATAAATATGTATCGATTGTGGCTAGATTTGGAGCATCCGGAGGTCGATTCGTGCGGGCGAGGCATCGCGGGCTAGAGTTTAGACCGGATCGAGGTGAGTAATAATTGTAAATGATATTCAGAGGGTTTGAAACCCCGAATTGCACATTGTAGTGCTATGTTGAGGTGACTTGCACGCCGGATAGCGAGCGTGGGGTAGAGCACCGTTGGGGATTATGACTTGGTCCGTCCTGATTGATAAAATTACCGTGTATTTAACTGAAAATTATTTGTTACCATCATGATTTGGGCTGATTGCCATATTTGGGCTTTGTGCCAATTATTTGGACCCTTTGGGGATTTTTATTCACTATTTCCTCACTGTTTTGACTTATATTTAAACTCAGTCCTGTTGATATTTATGGTTTTACAAACTCAGCCACTTTTATACAGATTTGAAACTTAAATGATATTTCTAAATGACATTTTGGGCTGAGAGCCACTGTTTTACAAATGCCCGAGGGGCTTATGATGATTTCCGGACTGAGTGAGGCCGAGGGCCACATGTGAGGATATGCTGAGTGATATGAGGCCGAGGGCCTGAGATACTTTATATGCCACGCGGTGGCTTGAGTGATGTGAGGATATGCTGAGTGATGATGCGAGGTGGCTTGATATAGCGCTTGGGCCGTAAGGGGCCCCTCCGGAGTCTGCACACCCACAGTGAGCGCGAGTACCCACCTAAAGCGGACAAATTTTAGACAGTGGTAACAATGGCATTATAGGACGCGTCTTGGTCAGGTAACAATGACTGACCAGGAATAAAACTGTGCGGTCAGGTAACAATGACTGACCAGAGCGGACAAATTTTAGACAGTGGTAACAATGGCACTGTAGGACTCGTTTTGGTCAGGTAACAATGGCTGACCAGGAACAAAATCGTGCCCGAGGGGCTGGTACTATTCTATGTGATTGCCCAAGGGGCTGGTACTATTCTATGTGATTGCCCGAGGGGCTGGTACTGTTCTATGTGATTGACCGAGGGGCTGATACTGTTCTGAGACATTGTGCCTGATGGGCGAACATTTTTTGTTGTGCTTATCTGCACTAGCTGCTTTGCATTCATTTGCTTAACTGTTTGAAAAGTTATTTTTCAAAGGAAGTTTGAACTGAGCAAAGGTGTTTTTAAGAGATTTCACAGCTTCATTGCTTTCTTAAATGGTTTTATACTGCTTCCATACAGCATGTTGATATGCTTTACGTGATTTTTTACTGCTCAGTTGTTATTTACCTTTATTACTCACTGAGTTGGAGTACTCACTTTACTCCCTGTACCTTGTGTGCAGATGCAGGTATTTATACACCCGGTAGCGGGTTTTGGCTGATTGGAGGCAGGGTTATCAGAGTTTTAGCGAGGTGGCTGTCAGCGTTCGCAGCACCGCTTTTCTCCCTTTTCATTCATCAGTCCTGTTTTGTATATTCCAGACCTTGTAGTTGTATTTATACTTAATAGATGCTCATGACTAGTGACACCCCGATGTCGGGCTGTGTTGGGTTGGATTTCCGCATTTTTTATCTATACTTTCCGCTATTTGGTACTATTAAACCATGATTATACTTTATTTGTGTTAACTTACTATTTTAAAGGACGAATTGGGTTAGACTGGCTGGCCTTGTCTTCACGAGAGGCGCCATCACGATCAAGTTCGGGATTTGGGTCGTGACAAGTTGGTATCAAAGCCTAGGTTACATAGGTCCCACGAGTCATGAGCAGGTTTAGTAGAGTCTCGCGGATCGGTACGGAGACGTCTGTATTTATCCTCGAGAGGCTGCAGAACCTTTAGGAAAACTTCACATTCTTGAAATTCTCATCGTGCGTCCTTGATTCAGCTTGGAATATAACTCTTTGAATTCCTTCCACGCATTTGTATGCACGAATGAGCGCTCAGTATCAGATGTGCCTTGATGGCTTGTGATTCCCTGATCGAGGGGTGAGATATGATCTCTGTGAGTTGATGTTGGGCCAGTATGGAGGACTTGAGGTCGGATTTTTGCCTATGGCTTGAGCACCAAGGTGGTGATTACGTGAGCTGTGTTTTTGAACTTATATATTCAGTAGTGCCCTATTAATAGAAATGATGGTTGGATGGCTATGCGATGAGTATGTAACGACTGCGAGATGTGATCACATAATTTGTAAGCGATGAGAAGGGTCTGCCGGAGTATAGATGAACTATTAGGTGTTTGATTTCCATCGTGATTGGATGTGTAGACCCGATTATGGGTGCGTGAAGAATCTCTTTTTTCTGTCTCCTAGTTGGGAGTAAAGTAAATTTCATGTTGCGTTATGAGTTCAGACTCAGGAAGACTGAGTGACTGTGTAATGTGGATGACGGTGGAAGGTAAATATAAAAATGTTAGTTTGAGGCAAGGCATGTGGGTTATCTCCTGCGGAGTGTTCTGGAGTTGCGTGATCTTTATGTTGTATGTTAGAAGATCCCATTTACAAGTGAGATATATATGTTGAAATTTAAATTTTGGATCGCTCAAGAGGGTGGATTTAACTACTACGAGAGCGAATACGAGATTTGCAGAAGATCTGAAGTACCAGATGGTTTGTGTTCCACGAGCTTATGAAGGATTTAGTTAATCTCACTTTAGTATTGTATAAGAAATAAAGTATATGCGTTATGAGTTATGGTGTGTGTTTTGATATATGGCTTCGAGCCAAGTTGGGGAGTTGCTATTGATTAGCTGATTGCACGGTTATGTTTTATGTCGGTTCAGGTTTGAGGCGTGCTGGTGAATTAGTTCTGGTTTGCGGAGGTTGAGCCCGAGGATGGCTCGAGCAGAGGAAAATTTTCGACTAAGGTAAGGCTATATGTTGTAGTGTCAGAAGTACCGATGAGGCACTGGTTGTTCGATTCTGTTGATCGGGTTAAATTGCGGTTCAAGTAGAGTGGATGACTCTCAGGAATGGTTCTAGTGTGCTCAAAATTTTGCATGTAATAATCGGGGAATTTCAGGTTGTATTTTTGGCTAAAAACTGAGGTTTGCATTTGGAGGGTGTCAAGATATGTGGTTTTTCTATATCAATTATGGGCTTCTATGTGGCACTATCAGGAAGGTGCAGGTAATGGTTCAGAATTCCATTTTGATAACTTGGTTATGTGCGAGCAGATTTGAAAGTCTTCTTGATGGTTTTTACCATAGTTCGAGCCGGATATCTTCTACCGGTGTGGGTAACATATTATATATTGTGAACTCCTCCTAGATGGGAGAAAATAGAAGATTTCTAACTGCCCGGAATGTAATTTTCCTATAGCCCAGAAATTCTAATGATATTCTTATGTTTGCAACATGATGGCATGATAGACGTGGTGTGTCGTACATGCTTAATATTTTCATGTACAAGGTGGCAGTTCATTCTTAAAGGGAAGGTCACGAATTCTGGATGGAATAGTCAGTTTCAGATATTTAGATGAATGTTATAACTGCTCGGTAAGACCTGAGAAGGGTGCACATTATATTTTAACTAACAAATATTTATTGGTATTACAACACTCACTTGGTTGATCGACCACCAATATTCCAATTTTGCTATGTAGCCTAGAAATTTTTTTTAAAATAATTATCATGGGATGATCGTACTTGAGGGATGTGTTAGTCATTTGAGTGCTGAGGTTGTGATCACTTACGGTGATTTATGTGATCTATGAATTCAGAGACGGGGAATTCTCAAAAATATACTATTTCGGGATTGTGGCATGTTTGAGGTGAGTATTTTATCTAAACTCATTGGATGCACTAGTCGAGCTAATTGATGGAGATAACTATGCGCAGTGAGCGCGAATATATGTGAGGTTTGAACCTGTGTGCAAGCACCGAGCCAATATTCATGCTCGGAAGATGTGTAGGCTATGATATGCCTAGAGTGGGATATTGAGCTTAAAGGTATAATGTTTCTCGTATTCGTATCTTTGTTGAGAACTATCTGGACTATACTTGAGATTTCCAAGATGCTAAATTCCAGAACAAACTTGGTAATTACTAATTCTGCATTAATTTGCTGATTTGAGCTGTGACAGCATAGTTTGCTCATGGCTACGATATAGAGTGTTATTTATGCTAGTCCAGGAGCATGAGAATCTTATTTCATTTAGCATATACAGGTGTACTTGTTTGATTTCTCCTATATGATATGCTTGGACTAGAGGTCTGTGACCATGCCAGGTGGATTATGTTATTGGCAACTAAGTTGCTCGTGAAGTTGATGTTAATGTGAGATATAGAAGAGCTGGTTATTATTATTCTATTCACGTATCTTGGTTCCACTGTGATTGATGAGCTCATAGCATATCGTTGGGATGGTACTTGTGGAACTTGCAAAACGGCTCTCTTCTTTGAGCTATTTTCCCTTTCTAGGGTGGCCGGATGGTGCAATATTGAGGTTTACTGGTATGGCACTATATTATGTACTTCTCCGTGGGTATGGTGATTCACTTGTCGTAGTAGACATCAAATTGCGCTTGGTTGATGATTTTGAGCATGGTAACTTGGGGTGTCTCATGTGAACTAGTGTCTGGATA